CCTGGAAGTAGATGCATTGTGACAACAAAGCATTTAAAGCTTCATCCTAGCAAAAACCCTAGATTTCATGGCTTGTTCATGTGCCTCAATGCTTGCAAAGAGGGCTTCCTAAATGGTTGCAGACCCTTCATAGGTACTTGCATAATTATTTTCCCAACATATTTGCCATTGCTTTTGTTTATGTTTGGTGCTAATGTGTTATGTTTGGTTGTAGGTGTTGATGGTTGCTTTGTTAAGTTGACAACAGGGCAACAAATATTGGCTGCAACTGGAAGAGCTCGCCGGCAACAACCGCAAGCTGCGCGCGCAGTACAGGGAGATCGCGCGCTGGTTTCCCAGCGCGGCGATGCTGAGGAACCATGCCCGCGGCCTGGTGAAGGTGATGACACCTGCCGAAAGGCAGCGTGCATTCCCTGCCGGCTACACCGTCCCGCCGGCGACCATTCTCCTGTGGGCGATGCGCGAGGTGCAGCGCTCCCCCGACCCTAGGCAGCGCGCCCGTTGGTGGATGTACCGCTCATCCACCACGCCGCCGACCGCCGCGGATGACATCACCGACGCCGTCCTCGCTCTCCCAGCCCCCATCAACAACGCCTACTGGGAAAGGCGCAATCCATGGGTGCTCGGGCCAGACGACGACTCTGACGCCGAGTCGGAGTCCTCTGACGACTACGACTCTGACGAATCTGACGGCTACTCCTCTGACGACGAGGTGGACGAGGTCGTCGTACTCTCCTCCGACTCCTCTGACGACGAGCCTGGTGTGCAGCTCCTGGCGCCCGTCCTCCACGCCGTCGAGGGGCAGAAGAATAGCCCAATTGATGTGGATAAGCCGCCGGAGGTCGCCGACAACCCAGAGCTCATCGTCGTGAAGCAAGAAGAGGAGGGCGGCGGTGAAGATGTGGTGGAGCCAGCGCCGGCCAAGAAGAAGAGGGCGGCGGTGAACAACAATGACGTGCGGCGCTCCCTACGCCTGAAGATGCTGAAGAAGGAGGAGTGACATGCTGTCTTCAGTTTCGTCAGAAGAAGAAAAAGTTCAGTTTCGTCAGTATGTTAGTTTGCCAGTTCTATCTATGTCAGTTGTATCTATGCAGCTACTATCTAATTAGTATGCCACTATCTATGTAAGACTATCTATGCAGCTACTATCTATGTTAGTATGCCACTATCTATGTCAGACTATCTATGCAGCTATTATCTATGTTAGTATGCCACTATCTATGTCAGACTATCTATGCACTATGAATTTGCTATCTATGTTCACTATCTACTTGCTATAATCCAAGCTATTAATTCATCACAAACTGAACTTAATAAAAGCTGATAATTCATCACAAACATAGTACACTCACAAACAACATACAATCCAAGGTTCATTGCTACAGACATAATAGAGTTCACCACAATAAAGCTTAACACATTACAAGCTTTCCTCCATAGCTACTACAAAAGACATCATTGACACACATGGTCAGACAGCAACACAAATTAGTCCTCATCACAAATAGCCTTAATCTGGTGAAGCTTCCTCTTGTTGCTATCACCTGCTGTCTTGAGCTCAACAATGCAGGAAGCAAGAGTACTCTTCTCCATGGTCAACTTCTCCTTCACTTTCATCAGCTCAGCAATGCAACAATCCAGCTTATCCTTCTCTTTCTTTAGGTCATCCTTCTCTTTCTTCAGGTCAGCATAGCAAATCTCCAAAGTCCTCTTATCAGAGCTCAACTTTTCCTTCTCCTTAAGATGGTTGAACTTCAAATTCCTAATGACAGTGGCTTGAGCTACATGAATTTGCTTTAACTGGTCAACAACAGCCTTTAATTTTTTTATCTCAGCATCCTTTGTCATGCTGCTTTCCACACTAACTGAAATGTTGTCAGCATCATTCTTCTGGTTTACCTCAGGCTGGCTATTCTTATAATCCAAGAGGTTGTTCACATCTTCAACAAGCTTCTCATATGTCTCCTGCAACTCTTTTTTCTGCTGTGTGAGATTGTGTACAGTGCTTGCATGCTCCAGACATGCCATCCTGTTTTCATGCTGGCTATGCTCATACATAAGCCAGAGCTTATGAATAGCATTCTGCAGATGCTCTGGCCAATGCTCATCTACCCACTACACTAATCCACAATTTGCAACACCCTACAATAGAAAAAATCAGTTCAAAAATACAGATATTACTTACAGATTCAGTTAAATAGCTGATTCTGTTAATGTACCAGAATCACATTCATTTAATGATGAATAATTATGAAAACTACAACTAAGAACACTACCTATGAATCCTAGAACTAAATTCAGTAACTATAAACCCTAGAACATGAGCAGTAACTATGAACCCTAGAACATGAACAGTAACTATGAACCCTAGAACAGGAACATTTACTACAAACCCTAGAACAAGAATTGGAATGCTGCAAACACAACTTAAAACTTACTTCAGTGGCACAAGCAATGAACCTCCTACCAGTGCTTATCCCCTCAAATGCAACATACTTCCTCCCTGGATTCCCATGCTCATAAATCACATTCAAGTCGTCAGCAAGACCCTCGAACGACGGCTCATCAATTGTAGCTGGGATCTGAGAAATCCAACAAAAACGTGTTCAAATTGAGCAAATGTTCAACCCTACAAACCCTAGAACAGAAATGAGGAATAGAATGTTCTGACGTTGACAGGGGAGTCGTCGGAGGAGATGTACTGCGCGGCAGAGCCGTCTGTGCTCTCACTGTCGGTCCAGGACACCATGGCGGACGGCGGCCGGCGGTGACCGGAGAGGAGAGGAGCAAATGGGAGGGGAGCGAGCGAGCGTGAGAGCAGAGAAATCGAGCGAGATGTAGTCGGGCGCGGGCGGTCTGTCTCTGGCGACCCGACCGCGTCTGTCTTAAGCAAACGGCGCCGTCAGCGCGTCCGTTACGCCATGTCACGCATATTGGGCCCCACATGTCGGAAACGCCCTCAACCGAGCCAAATGACATGTTCAGTGCAATCTGCAAAACTGTTACTGAATCCGCGGTGGCTTTTGCAAATGATTAGCGACCACGTTGTTTTCTGCAAGATAAGTCCCAAATGTGGTGGTTTCTTGCAATTCACTCGGAACATGTTGACGATTCTGATTAGCAGAGCCAGGCAAAAGAGATTGTCAAACCAAAATAAAATAAAAATATGAAGATAGGCGTAATGTTCTTTTTTATAAATATTTTTACCAACATATAATATGAAAATCCAACTTGTTTGGGACTGATAGTCGTCGTCGTTGTTGTATATACATACATGTGAAAATCAAACATCTGTTGGAGGCCATGCAAATGTCCAAAACAATATGCATTTATAAATGGGGTGACTATTAGTTTTTTTGCTTACCCCGTGTGCAACTGTTGTCCATTTAATTTACCGCTACATTAACAGTGTTATGTCAATTGAATAGAACATAAAATAAACACTAGGTCTTAAGAAAAGATTATTATGACGTATTAAAGTTTCCGCAAGTCCTTCGGCATTCCATCTTCTGACCAATATCCTTTTTTCAGAGATGATTTTCCAACTGGTACTAAAATGTGAACATCGATGGGTCAGGCATAAACCTTGTGTTCTCTATTTGTGTTCCATGATCGGCCACATTATGGTTGTACGGCAACTGTATTTTTCGTTAGTGCCATATCATGAGTCTAGTTCCTTCCACACGCTCATCTAAGTATAGTTATCTTTCGTTGAAAGATGCTAAAACTAAAACATCATTTGACCATTCTACTTTCTATTTCCTCCTGTTTTTAACTTCTTATCAAACATGAAGTGGTTTGCTAATTTAATTAAATATAGTTTTATTCCACATCTCTTTTTTGTTGCATTTCATATATAAATCCGACCGTCTTTTATAAGTTGATTCCGAAAGTTAGTATTGTAATAAATTTTGTGTGGAGTATGTATGAAAAATCAAATTTGCTGATTTTCTTATGCCTCTTATTCCAATTTGTTTCACCTTATAAGAAATACATTTTTTGAAGGAAAACTATAAGAGAGACTCTACTCTATAAATAGAACCTAAATTTGCATGCATGAGGAGTTAAACTATGGTGGTGGGCTTGTTCATCCATTCAACCAGCCAACTGAGCTAGCTTCTATTGCATTGATTGCCGGTGTGGAATTTATGTGACTATCTCTTTTTTTGTGGGCATTTTTTTTTGTAAATCTCTGACAGGTGGCTTTATATGCGTACATATGTATTTGTTATTTTGAAAGTTTAGATTGTTTTTTATAAACTTGGTCAAACTTTATAAAATTTGACTTAGGTAAAAGCTAATATGCGGAGTAAATAAAAATATAGGGAGTACAAAATATGTATGTATATACCCTGTTGCGAGTAAATTTCTTTTTCTTACTATTCTTATCCCTGTCTTATATACTATTATTGCATTTGCTTTAGAACTCTACTTACTCCCTCCATCCGAAAAAGCTTGTCACAAGCTTGTCCTTCAAATGGATGTATCTAGCACTAACTTGGTGTTAGGTACATTTATTTGAGGGAGAAGTTTTTACGGAGGGAGGGAGCATTTATTTACCTGTGCAAGTTCATCTCCTTCTATAATTGGCTACTTGTAGTTGCCTAGATGTGTACATGTTGAATCCGTATCGGTCTAAATATATTGTTTGAATGTCTCTTTCTTTTCTTACTATATATATGACGCTATTAACCCTGTTTAATTTATTTTGTCATGTATGTCTAATTAGTTAACACTAGCCATTGCTTTTCTACTACTTTAACAATAATATAACTGATAGATTGATTGATCGTCCCACAAATTGATGTATATACTATTAATCCCTGTTGTTATTTTTCTGATGTGTATGTCTAGTTAACCATGGCCATTCATTTTCTACTACTTCAGTAATATAATAGATAGATAGATTGTCCTGCAACTTGATGTATATTTTGCATTCATCTGGATAGATATAGGTAGCAAGCCTCTAAAGCGGTGCTCTGGTTTATTGATTGATTGGGATGAGGAGCAAAACCTGTGTTGTTTTGACAACTGCACATCTGATTCGCACAAAGGATTCTCCTGTCAATGTGTGGTTAGGCGGAGAAGAGTATACTTCCAATGCTGATGTGAGCCAATGTTCTCTCTTTTAACTTCTATGAGTATTTTTTTCATTTTAGTTGATTCCAAATCACATTAATAATTACTTGATGTAAGATAGTTAGTGTGAAATTGCATTTCTTTTGCTATTGGACTTCTCTAGTAACACAAAGAAGCAACAAATATGTTTGATTAAAAACATTTATGTACATCTAGATTTTTTTTGTAGGCATTACTCAGAATGTAATCTGATTCTTTCTCCAACGTTTTTAGGTCACTGTTCATTTACTAGATGGCACTAGTGAAAAGGGTCAGCTGCTGTACTACCAGACACACTATGATCTTGCTTTTGTGCGGGTTAAAGTGGACCAGCCTATCCAGTTGCCGTCTTTCAGTGAAGAAGTGACATTTGCTGAAGAAGTTCTTTGGCTAGGAAGAGACAATATGTTAGATCTACGGATAACTTATGGTAGAGCTGCATATCAGAATCCAGATATTGATGAGCGGTATCATTACATGTACTTTGATTGTGCAGATGATGATAACGACGACGATGAGGTAATATTTATTGTCACGAGATTGCATAATTGTTTAATGTTGTATATTGCAATATGTTATGACTATTTTTCTATGTTGTAGTATGACAGCGGAGGGCTAGTCATTAGCTTGGATGGAAAAATTGTTGGAATGTTCAACATTAGCTCGAGGGGGTCTTTCAAACCTTCTTCTATTTTGCTCAGTTGTGTGAATTTGTGGAAGAAATATGGGTGCGCTTCTCTCTATTTTCTCTCTCATGCAATTTAATCTACTACCCCTATAAAAGCACGAAAGGGCGGAGAACCCATTCATCCTATCCATCAAATCGTGTGATCTGACGGTCTACATTGCTCCAACGTACTAAACGTGTTTTATGCTTTAATTACCCACCATGCCATTAGCCTGTCCACTATCCTCTACTGCCTCTTTCAAAGGAAAACACAAAAAACAAAACCGATGCCTCCCGCTAACTAGCCACTAATCCAATGCACGCACGCATCACGCACGTTCTCCCCCGAAAACTAATCCCACTCAAATCACGTCCCCTCGATCTCGATACGATCAGTCTTGGCAAAACGCCTCCACCGCTAGGACGTCCTGCCGGGTCGGCGGCCGCTTCACACCGGAGGGCGCCGTTGGGGCATGTAGCGCCGCCCGCCGGGAGATGCCGTGGCCGTGTATGAGGACCAGCTGCCCCCGGGAGTGGTCGTGTCCGCTGGCAGCCACGCCGGAGGGCGTCATTCGTCGCATCGCCTCCTTGATGCCGGCCAAGAGAGCTCAGGCGCCGCTTGCCGCTGTGGCGACGGAGGTCCTTCCGGTCTCCATGGTGCGCGCATGGCGTCCTCCGCAAGGCGGGAGCAAACGCCATCACAAGGGCCTCTGGAACAGCACCGGTACACGTATATATCAAGACATTGAATTCTTCAGTGAGCAAGTGAAGCTCTGATCCCTCTGCTGGAGTCCATGGAGATGAATGTGTAAGCGCAGTACGGGGTCAACCCTGACAGGGAGGTGCTGGAGATCTTACAAGCTGAATCCAAGGCCAAGCAGGTAATAGATCTACAGTAACATCATACATGTTAAATTAACCTACGTTTGATGGATCGTTGGTTCATATCTAGGGGATATCAGGATGGATTGGAGTGTTTGTCTCCATTGAATTTTCTGCTGTTTGTGTTGATTTGAACCCTGAAATTGATGCATTTTGTTACCATTATGAAAATAGAAACCGAAGACTGGAGCACAAGCTAGCTAGCTTCTTCGTGCATGCTGCTACCTGCTAGCTAGCGACTACAGTTTGCAAATCATGGCCTTGCACTCTGTTTATGCGATGTTTGCATATGTACGAGATGCATGCACTTGCTTGCTGAGTTGCACTCGAGGCGTATTGATTATAGGTTACCTTGTGTGCAGGTACGGCCAACCACGAGCCCACACATACAGATTGAAGAATGAAGAACTGTATGAAATGTTACCGTCTGTTGGTGATAGTGCTTTGCATGATTTTAGGACTTAGTGGATACACGGATCTAAATTTGATAGATGTTTCTTATTTAGTTTTTGTTTCAAACGCATGCTTTAATTGATGAACACTGTTACTAAGGAAGGTCTTGTTCCAAATGCACATGCCTTCCATGTTTAACTCTGAACAGAATGAACTGCACTTGCTATAACCAGACTAAACTGAATGTATAGAAACATGTACAGGTTCCCCTATCCCGCTCGCCCCTCCGGCAATGGTCCGGCCACCCCAACAATGGTCCGGCCACCCGAGCACGGATCCAACATCTAACACGTGAATCCTCGCCGTCCCCATCCTCAACGAAGCTACAGGGAGCAGATTTTGCGGAATCTATCATTTTGTGTTACATTTGTTGCCATCCAAATATTTTGCACAGACACCTTAAATTTTGCTGCGTGTGAGCTATGCTAATTTAAATTTACATGACATTTTAATTTCATATTTCGAATTAAGATGCCATCATCACTTTTGGTTGTGGTAGCTCTACTCCACTTTGTCATTTCTTGATGTTTGGATTGACCATATCTTAATGTCCATTATTGCTAGCATTAGGAATTATATGCACATGAAGCTGAATTACAACATAGAAGACTTTGATCAAGATATACATTTTATATTTAGAAAAGATATGTAATAAGTCTTTTTATGTTCCCTCAGTAGTTATTCAATGTACCAAATTTATGAAATTTCAATTGATCAAGGGAGCATTGGTCTAATTTAAAAGAAGATTAGTAGCTTATTTGGTTCACGTATATTTAGAAGGGGCGGAGAAAATTTCTTGCTGAGCTTTTATTGTGTGTTGCACGTGCAAACTTATGTAATTAAAACTGTTGTGTTTTTAGTTAGAAATAGATGTATCCCGTTGGCATGAAACTATTTTCGATCTTCAAAACGAGCATTAGTAAAAACGTGCGTTGCACGTGCAAGCTTACTAGTAATCATAAACTATGTTTGAGTAAATAGGTGCAGTAAGTCATGTATATATTGTTATGTTTGAACAAATAGCTACAAGTAATAATTTATCAATGATGGTCTAGCTGGGCATGTTGAGACTTCAAAACAATTCATTATGCCAACCACTTGTTGGAAAGAAGATGATTACCTTACCATATACTCTACATGTCTTTACTATCCACTACTAGGGAAAAACTTATAGACAGACGCTTACTAGTAGCGTGGGTTTATACCCCTCGCTGCTGCTACTTACTAGTAGTGCGGGTTTATAGCCCTCGCTACTATTAAGTTGATAGTAGTAGCGGGGGTTTATAACCCTCGCTACTACTAAGTGGTCTCTGCTGTGCCCCCCCGAAACATGCCATAGTAGTAGCGAGGGGTATAAACCCACGCTACTACTAAGTTGATAGTAGTAGCGTGGGTTTATAACCCTCGCTACTACTAAGTGGTCTCTACTGTGCCCACCCGGGACATGCCATAGTAGTAGCGAGGGCTATAAAACCGCGCTACTACCATCGACAGACATATGTACACATAGCGTGCGGAGGCCCAAATCCAAACCCACACTCTTCTGATTCCCCTTCTCCTCCCACTCGCCATTCCCTTCCTCGCCCACCACCACTGCCGGCCTCGCACCTCGGCGCCACTCCAAATCTGGCGACCTCCTCTCGCAGACCCCTCCCCTACCCCTCCATCCTCCTTCTCCGCTATTGGAAGGAGAGAGAAACCAGCAGAGCGTCATCCACATGGCGGCGGCCAGATCCGCCATGGATGCAACCACTTGCACCTCCTCACCGGGTCAAGGGTCCCACGACAAGCAGCGGCAGGTCACCGAGATTCATCTAGGGTTTCAGGCGTCGGCACCAACTCCGGCGGCCACCGGTGAGTTCCTCCTCCTACTGCTCTCTATCTCTCTCTTCCTCTTTCTAATAAATTTCTCTTCTTTTGTAGCAGCAGTAGACGAGAGCTGCGGGCACAAGTTGGGTGGGGAAGCACCATCACCATGAACAACTTCATCCCCACCAGGACCAGTAGCAGCCATGAATGGAGAGGACGATGACGCCGAGCAGAAGCAGCCGCCATGGCTGCAATTAATTTTTTTAATTCTGAATTAGTTAGTAGTAGCGCGGGGCTCTGACCCGCGCTACAACTAAGTAGTAGTAGCGCGGGTGGCAACCGCGCTATTACTACTAGAAGTAGCAGTAGCGCGGGTACCACCAGCGCTACTGCTAAAAGTTATCTGTAGTGCCCTAGCAGTAGCGCAGCCCCCCGTGCTACTGCTAGCAATTACCCCGCGCTACTACTAGGGTTTTCCCTAGTAGTGATCGTTTACAGCTCAAGTGCAAACTGAATTTAATAGAGATCAATTGTGATAGGCGTCCAATTTATATCGAAATATGTTAATTTTTTTAACATAACATCATGGAAGATCCTTTTTGAGTCTTTTTCAACTCTTACTAATGTATCATTCCCGTTGAACTCTATTCGAATTGACATATTGCTTACTATTGGGTTCTTTTGCAACATGCTAGAAAGAAGTTGGATTCCGCTGAAGATGGCTCATTCAGAAAGTATAACTTGCTTGTGTATACCATGTTATAAAGATTTTAATGATTATTTGGTTTGGTATAGGCGCATCCCCCGGCCCCAACTTGGAATGACGTTTGAGGCCATCAAGCTTCTAGAGCCTGCTCATGTTGACAAGATATGGCGCATGTGCCACATTGATGATGGTCTTGTTGTTCAAGAGGTATATAGAGTGCCTTCCTGAATGTACTTACTTTCTCATGTGTATAGTGGTTAATTATTGCCAATTGAACCTTAGGTCTTGAAAGGATCTCCTGCTGATAAATTTGGAATCGAAAGAGGTGATATTGTTGAGTGTTTCAATGGAGAGCCCATTTCTAATACTGTTGAGGTGAGTGCATTAGATATTTGTAGGTTTCTAATGAAGTGACAATAAGTTACATCTGCGTGACATTGGGTAACTTCATGCTCTTGATTCTGTGTTTTTTCTGCAATTGTCAGTTGGAGAATAGGTTGATGAACACATGCAAGGGCCTTTCAGACAATTATAATGACCTTATTGAAGTTCATATTTCTGTAAGTTCAGTTCTTGATTGATCCTAATCTTATTACTAAAATGCTAGCACTAACAAATGTGTTATGCTGACTCCATAGGTTGGGGTTTTTCACACGCTTAAAAAACAGCGAAGGATTGGAGAGTTGACTGTAAGTGTATCAGATCTTGGAGAAGTTATTGCAAGAGGTACACATCTCCTATTTTAACCTAGTCCCATCTAAAAATTATCTTGGGGGTTAATTTGATTTATTCCTCTCCGAATTTCTAGAGATGAAAAAATGCCACTGCAGAAAAACGATTATAAAAAATGCCACCGCAACTTCCCCTATACTTTGAAATATGTTGTTATGCCCGATTCCACACTAGTACCGGTGAATAGCCTCTCGTATTTCGCTTCGTATGCCTGTAGATAGGATCCTTACCTGTAGAGATCAAATTTGCCCCAGCCTCTTACCACACATCTAGCTATCTCAAATCCCTAGCAGAAAACCCCAATCCGCTTCTCCCCCACACAGTCTGCACCCAGCCTCCAACCGCCTCTGCCTGACTTCTTCTATCCCGGCGACTTGCCGCCACTACTTGTGCTATTTCCTCAGTTAGCTCCCCGCATCCTACGGTCCGCAGCGATGAACTGCACAGTTTCTCCCCTGCCTGCTGACTTGGACTCATGCTCATGACAGCCCATGGGCTCCAACTACCTTCGCTGCCTCCCAATGTTCGAGTCGTCACGGGGAGGAGCTGCAGTTGTGCCTCCCCATTCGCCTGTTCTAGTCACTGTGAACTGCAGGTTGCTCCGCCCAGTCCTGTTCCATGTCTGCAATGTATATGCTGCAGCTTGCACAATTTGCTGCAATGCGGTGTTTTTCTATTTCAGGTAGCTAAGTCTGTTACCAAAAACTTGAGCATGATGACCATGATGTTGACATGTCCAGAAAGGATCAGTTTTTACCAAAAACTTGAGCATGATGACCATCATGTTGACATGTCCAGAAAGGATCAGTTTTTACCAAAAACTTGAGCATGACATCTACACATTTTACCAAAAAATTGAGCATGACTTTAGGTTGGAACAACTAGAAATCTACGAGTTCACACAATATAAAGCATCAGATTGGCAATAAAAGTTCCATGTTGTGTTGAGCATCTGGTTCACCAAATATTTCAATGTTCAAACATGCAACTTGAAGTTGACAATAAAAGCTCCATAATTCTTCACACACAAGTTCACAAAATACAAGTTCTCAGCACAAAATACAGTTGACAAGTTCTTGTGCAACGATCCATAAGATAAAACATAGTACCGAGTAAGAAGCAATGATATGTAAAACAAATTAACACGAGGGAAAACATTAGTTTGATGTTGGGTCTTCACCAACATCAGATAAGATCATAAGAGTTCCTGTTCGGGTTCGGGCTCATTGCATGTTTTCTTTGTATGGCCCACTCCTTTACATATTTTGCACTGACCACCTTTCTACCAGGTTCAAGAAAAATCTCCTAATTCTCTGCTTCTTAGGTCCGTCTAGAGTCCTTGGAGAAGGTGAGTGTACTTTGCAACCCAAGTCGACTTTCACTCAATTGTGTCTTATTTGTGAATCTGTCATGGATGGTGCTGACCCAGCATATGTTGCCCTAAACTTCTCAATGCTGTAAAAATTATCCACATGTGCTTGGATCTCAGCTCCCCTGATTGAGCAGATGAAGGCCAATTCATGAAGGCATGGCTTCCCAGAAACTTGACACACTCTGCATGAACATGTGCTATCTTTTATGTTCATGACGCGTCTCCTCACATTAAACTTACCCATAATGAGCTCTCTAATACAGCCCCTTGAAGTCCTTAATTTGACCGTTAAAACTTTTTTCAAACCATGCAAGAGGGCTGCATGTATTTCAGTATAAGAAATAAAAGAGGTTCTGGTAAATGGCTGGTGGCCAGCAAAAGTTAATTGTTGAGAACAGAGTTCATCCATGCTTTCTTTACCAAAGCATCCATGTTAGGTTGTGTGTAGTCTTGTAAATTTTAGGATTATTTTGGGCTAAGAGATCCATGTTTGTGCTTGTAGGTTTGCCAACCCATAGGATTCTGGGCATGAATTTTGTGTTGTGTGACATGTTGCAAAGAATGTGGATTAAATACTGCTTGCATTTTGCTCCCTCAGTTATATGGATACAAAACATTGGCCTCGATAGAGGCGTCATTATTTGGCACTCATGTTGATGTTATTCTTTGTACAGATCCTACTGTCTCATGAACTTGCTGCCAGAAAAGGGATGCCAGGCTACTAGATGTTTTTGTGTTGGGCGTACTGTGATGGATACTTGACCTGTGACCATAGCTAGTACTCTAGATATTAGAAATGACTTTATAATTTGTATATATGAGTACACTGCACAATCCGCCGGAAAAGCTTTTTGGGTGTGTCGAATAGCGAGTGGAGCTCCGAGTGCATTCTTCCTTTGTGGTGTCTCTGGTGGGATGAACTTGACCGACAACACATTTGGCAGCTTGAACTTCGTCCGCCACACATTTTTCTTCTTTTTTGGTGTCGGCAGTGGGATACTCTTGGCCCTGTGCATTCTTCCTCTTTTTTTGGTGTCACCGGGGGTGGTCTTGGTCCGCCACAGATTCTTCTTTGGTATTTCCGGTGGAGTGATCTTGATCTGTGACACATTCTTTCTTGGCAACGCTACCGTGCCAATTCAGGCAAGAGCCACGGTAGTTGTAGTGACAAGTTAAAATCATTATTATTGAACGTTCTTTCCTTTTGAAATAAATTCTTGAAATCATATTTTGCCAATGTCACGCACATTGTTTCTTTCTGAAACCATTTCTTGACATAATAAAGAAGTGTTAAAATCACCTTTTGAACTTTTATTTTTTAATCTTTGAATTAATTTTTATTCTATGATAATATGCGAACTTGGTTAAATAATTATCTTGAAGCCAGCCAACTCATGACCTAAACAGTGAACAACGTGTGTGTTTTGAGAGGGACCAATCATGTGGATAGACTCCAGAGGTGTGTACAATACGATAATTTTGCATATTCTATATTCTTAAAAAGTCTATCCCAATTCTTTCAACATGCAAAGTGTTCACTTCAACGTTCACACTAAGTCATGCATTTATGTCTTCTCTCACACTAAGCCATGCATTTTAAGTCGGCCACATAAGCAAGCCATGCATTTAACCTATAAATTACAATTATTTTTTGCATTAGTCTATGCATGTAATGCTCCCATATTATACATGCATGTTAGTCATACTTCATAGTTTGTTCAAAATGGCATTTTAACTATGATTCAAAAGTTTTCCCCCCTATTTTAGACACATTTTTTTATTGATTTTCAAGAGCTTATATTTTTATTATATTTAATTATTTTTAGCAACTATTTATGCCTTTTTTCATAAAATTATGGCTGTGGAGCATCATCTAGTTGACAAGAAAATGCTTTGGGCCTACGCTGCTTCTGCAAGCAGCATGGGTGCAACCCTAGCCTCGTCCCCCACTAGCATTTTCCTTCCTCCCCGATGTCGTCAGCGGTCATCGTCGAGCAAAGCCCGCGTGATACTGGCGGCTGCAGGGCCTATCCTCCCCTCTTGCTTGGCTCGAGGGGTGCCGCGGGCGGCCCTCCGTGGCAAGGGTGCATGATTCCTGGTGGCTTTTGGCGGTGGGGGGTTACGAATGAAAGGGTAACAACATGGGTTTGGCAATAGTATGGTTTTGGTAGTTGAGAAAAGTATTTAAGTTGTGATTTAAGATGAATTATTAGGCCATGTTGGATTATGATAACTTTAATATAAGGCCAATGTATGGAAAGGAGTAATAGAAGATGGTATTGGTTACGACAATAGATAAGGCCATATGAGTTGTGGCCATATGAGTTGAGTTATGACCACCTGGATTGAGTTGACTTTAATTTAGTAATGGACAAGTTTGGGAAAGGCACAATGTTGTTCAGACTGCACACGATAAGTTTATTTGTATTCTTGCTTGGATAGTATTGTTGTTGTTGCTTTGTTACAGGTTTGTTTGATTGCTATATATTCAGATGTCTTGCAAGTTCATTCAAAGTACTTACCTGTCATTGTATGTGGCTAGATTTTGAAGAAGATGAATAAGCTAAATGGTCGCCTCAGCCAGTACTATGAGCTGTGAAGCCCATCCAAGCCGCCAATGTAGTCTTCAGCTGCCAGGCAGCTCTATCATAGAGATTTACACCACATACTCTTGTAATCGTGTTGTAAAGTCCGTTATATTAATAAAGTCATGTTTGGAGCATTGTGTCATGAGTCTGGCGCATGCCGGGAAGTTATCCTGGGCCGGCATGTGCAGGGGCCTGTTTGAGTCAGATCGCGGTGCCACGGCCACCTTGCCTAAGAGTGGTCGTCTGCTCGGTTCCTCTCCACGCAATGCTTGCATTCGATCTCCCCATGAAGACCATCGCGGCCATGAACAAGATAATAACGGGTTTTCTGTGGTGTGGCAAGACCGAAGCCAATGGTGGGAACTGCTCCGTCGCTTGGGACGACGTGTGCATGCTAAAATGGGCAGGAGGCCTAGGCATTCCGAGCCTTAAATGGCTAAACATAGCAATGTAGACCCATTGAGCTTGGTTGCAAAGGGTGGATCACAAAAGACCTTGGAGAGAGTTCGCCATCGCCACCCCAAAGGATTCATTGGCGCTGTTCAGCGCTGTGACCATGGCAACTGTTGGGAATGGGAAGGAAACACTGTTTTGGGAGGATCGATGGTTGGATGGGACACAAATTGAGGAGCTAGCCCCGGCGCTCTACGCTTGCATCTCGTATCGAGCCAAGGCCACTCGAACAGCACACGCGGCACTGACACAAGGAACATGGGTGGAGGATGTTAGCCCGGACTTGGGTTTGGCAGTGCTTATGGACTAAATGGCAGTTTGTTAATGGGTGGGAGCAGTTGAGTTGGAAGGAGTCAAAGACACCATTGTTTGGTCTTGGGAGGGGGATGGACAGTTCTCGGTAAGATCCGTTTACGCTACCAAGTTCGTAGAAAGAGAGGTGGTGTCAACCGCGGATTCCACATGGAGATCACAGGCCCCACTACAATGTCAGTTGTTCATGTGGCTTGCAATGAGGAACCGATGTTGGACCTCAGATAGCCTCGCTAGACGAGGCTTACCACATCAGGACGCCTGCCCTTTCTGCGAGCAAGAGGAGGGAACTATCAACCACATCCCGTTGACATGTGTGTTCGCCAGGACCATATGGAGGGCGTTGTGCTTGGCTCTCGGCAAACAAGAATGGACATCAACGACACAAAACACTCTGAGGGCCTTGTGGGTGGAAACAACAACCGCGGTACAAGCTAAATGAGCTTCCGGCATTTTTCACCCTAGTATTTTGGAAGCTTTTGAAGCATATGAATGCGATTGTCTTTGACCGCGCATCTTCTTCTTTTGAGGCGGTGGCCATGAGATTAGCGACCGAAGGAAGAGCATGGCAACAAGCCCATTTTATCAAAGGAGACCTCGATAACTTTTTCAAAATGTTGCTAGGGTGGGCGAGGCGAGAGTGATACATCCTACGTAGATTAGCGGTAGATTGCCAGGTTGTTGTCGGTGTGGTAGTTTTACCTTGTACTCCCTCCTGTCCTTTTTATTCCACGCATTAGATTATTGTCATGTCAAGCTTTGCAAAGTTTGACCAAATTTATATTAAAAAAATATCAACATCTACAATATCAAATATATACACTATGATACTACATTTCACAATGAATCTAACAACATTGATTTGGCATTGTGAATGTTGACATTTTTTCTATAAGTTTGGTCAAAATAGAGATATTTTGACTCCGGACAAAACTTATATGCAGACTAAAAAGAACGGGACAAAGTAACATCGACGGTGGTTTGGGTTCTTTATACCCCCCCCCCCTTCCCCTCTCTCTATAAAGTATGATGTGCGTATGGGAGAAAGAAAAAAAAGCTCAAGCCAGAATGAAAAAGTATGCAAATAAAAAGAAAAATGACATCAACTACGAAGTGAGACATATGGTTTGGTATTGTGAATGTTGATTTTTTTTCTATAAGTTTGGTTAAAATAGAGATATTTGAACTTCGGACAAAACTTATACGTAGACTAAAAAGGACCGGACGGAGTAACATGACGGTGGTTTGGGTTCTTTATACTCCCCTCCCCTCTCTCTATAAACTATGATGTGCGTATTCGAGAAAAACAAAGCTCAAGCCAGAATGAAAAGTATGCAAATAAAAAGAGAAATGACATCAACTATGAAGTGAGACATATGATTTACTTAAAAATTGCAACCATGACAGCTTTTGACATCCGTCTAGGACTCAAACTGGCTACTAAATTCTATTGACCATTTCTGGTTCCGAAGAAAATTGGTGGAGGTGCATACGAACTTGAGCTTCTGAACACAACACAAATACATGAAGTTTTTCACATCAGTCAAAGAAACACTTCAGTCCATTAGCTGTTCCTGCTCCAGA